GAAAGAGGGAACATGACTCTGTTTAGCCAAGCTATGATTAACTGTGCTGCATGATAAAAAGTACAGCGTATCTCGACACCTAGTACTTGTAAAATATAACAAATGATACATAATATGTACAATTCTTGTAATCCTGACAAGAGTGGTTTCTGTTGCACCCTGTTCTAATGCATATGCGCGAAAGACCATGTATCCGCTTTGAAATACATTTCCTGATTAATAAACCTTCTGTTGTGAGAGCAAGTGCTGTCCTTGTCAGCCTCTGTCCGTCCGTTTTTAGTGCGCTTCCAACAAAATTTTCAAGTCAAGTTGTACATAGTTATATACATCCAATCTTGCACTAAAGTCATTCCTTTGTCTAAGGAGTCTTGGTGTGCCTAATCCTGTGCTCAACACACCTACACTACCGTGGAACCCGAGAAAGTGCGTAATAATAATAAAAAAAAAGAACCTGAGAAAGCGCATAGAACGGGCCACCCAGAGATACCCTTCACAAATACTGCGTGCTTGCCAGGGTGGTGACGTTCTATCATGCGCGGTGCAGTTATCCGCGGGGGGTATGCTTCATACCCGGTTTTCGCAATTGTAAATAAAGTAATTATTTCTTGTTTGTTTCTGTAGTTGATATTGTTTTAACCTTGTCAGTTTACTTCGCACTCGGTTTGAGCCAGTAGCGTAGCCAGATTTTTTTTTTTTTTGCGGGAGGGGGGAGGGAATAGGGTCACTTCGCATATGGGACAAAGAGAGGGTGCTCATATTGGACAGACACTGGCCCTAATGCCAGTGTTTGTCAGATATAAGAAAACCACCAATCTGGCGAGATATTGTGCCAAACGTGGGTGATCCTCCCTAAAAACTTGAGTAAAAAAAAAAAAATGAGGCAGCTTCGCACCATGTGTTGCCGTGCCTGAAAGTAATGTTTCTACTTTTCCACTTTATTTCGTCTTTCTTCCCTCGCTTAATTCCTATTTATTTCTTCCTCTATTTCCTATTTTTTCTGTCTTTCTCTTTATCGATGCTTCCTCTTTTTCTCTAGTTTTACGACAGCCCGAGCTTCAAGTGCTCTGCACTTATCATCATCCAGGCTCTAAAAGAACAAGAAGATTTTTTCTAATCTACAAATGACTAAGTTATTGATGGTTTTGCCTGTGTGGCAAGCTACGACAGCCCTACACCGTAAAGTGCTCTGCGCTTAAAAAAGATTTTTGCAACGATGCACTGCTAGCCTGCCGTTATGTCGCAAAGGCTGGTGTAAAGCAGAGCTGAGAGAAGCCTTGGAGATGAAATGCAAAGTGATACAGATTAAGCTAGGCAAAGGTGGGCATGGTTTAGCCCAGTAAGAATTTCCTCTTCGCTTCACCACTACTCTAACACACCCACACTAGACCTGGCTAAACTATGCTATATAACAGTGCCATTTTTTGGGCGTGTTTGTTAACGGAAATAGACGACATGTTGAGCGCTAAGAGACAGGGACATGAGAGAGAGGAGAACACAATGCGCTATACCAATGCTATATACCTTCCATTCCCTTTTTCCTCATCCTCACATCATATTCCTCCTTATGCTGACATCCCCTTCCAACCACTTGCTATGAAATGCATGGCTATATTGTGCGGTATGTCTTAACCCTTCATCCTTGTCCTCACTTTGTTTCCTAAAACCTTAAGCTACATTACACTACGTGTAATGTAGCTTAAGGTTTCACTGCTACGTTTAAGGTTTTGATACTATGCTTTACCCTCTTCACTTCCCTTACCCACCCATTGCTATAATACACATAACTATCCTATGCTTACACCTTTCCTTCAAGTCCCTTTTTAACCCCTTGTTGTACTATACATTACTACAGTAAAATGCCAAGCAAGCACCCCCCTGTGGTTAAGGATAATCAGACCGATTCAGGAGGGGGTAGGGAGGGGGGCGCTTGCTCAATTGGTCCAGGATTAACATTCAAGATGGTGGTGGGAAATTCACAAAAAATTTAAAAAATGCCCATCTGTGTTTTTAATGAAATGCTTTAGTATAAAGCATTTCATAGACAACATATGATACGTATTGAGTGTACCCATTCTTGTGGTTCTCTTTACCCAAGCAATGCCCGTCCCGAAAAAAGAAAAAAAAAAAGTGGCCGCAGGAGGTGGCGGAGGGATGGCGCATTCTGGGTCGTTGGCCCTCATTTATGATTTCCCCAAAACCAAGGGGGCACTTGCTCGACATTTTATAGTATGCTACCTCCCCGGACCTTCTAACCTTTTCCATCTTCTTTCTATTCTGTACATTGCTATTCTACTCTTTACCTTTTCTTCCTCCTCCGAACCTTCCTTTCCCACCCCTTGCTGCACTATACTTTACATGGCTGTGCTATATGCTTCACTCTCCTCTATGCTGAAGCACTGCGCCGTGCTCCCAACCGGGTTGCAGAAATTAGGTGCCTTTTCTCATCTTCTAACCACTACCACCACCACCTCTATGCTGCACATGGAGTAGCAGGCAAAAAGCCAGACAAACATCTCCAGCTCATCATTGAAATAATTCTTTCTTCTCCTCCCTCTTTCACTAAGCTAGCCCCGCCGCGGTGGTCTAGTGGCTAAGGTACTCGGCTGCTGACCCGCAGGTCGCGGGTTCGATTCCCGGCTGCGGCGGCTGCATTTCCGATGGAGGCGGAAATGTTGTAGGCCCGTGTACTCAGATTTGGGTGCACGTTAAAGAACCCCAGGTGGTCAAAATTTCCGGAGCCCTCCACTACGGCGTCTCTCATAATCAAATGGTGGTTTTGGGACGTTAAACCCACAAATCAATCAATCAATTCACTAAGCTATGGACCATAAACCTTTCGATTAAGCAAAAGGCGTACATTCCAGTCGGAAAAGTGTATTTCTGGCTACATTATGCGAGCACCAGTATCCAGCTGTGAGGAGCATTCCAGCTGTAAATTTGAGACTTTGGCTGCAAATAAGATGTTCCTGCTGGAGCTGCATTTATGTTCAGCAGGTTGATAACAATTCCAGTTAGTCACCTTTTCCAGCCGAGGCTGAAATGTGCTTTCACCAGCTGGAACCGACCACTTCCAGCTCTTTAAAATGTAGTGCAACAGAAACCTTGATGTTTAGCTGGCAAATTTCAGCTTGAAACAGCCTATTACCATGGTAGCTTTAAAGATAGCTGGTTTCGCAGATATTCTGGTGTTGGCAGCGTTGGCACTGTTGGTTGTGAGCGCAAGATCCTTTTTCGTGACCGAAAAGACAAGATAGATGCAAATAAATAATAAAAAAAGCCTCGGCTTGAGTAGCAATCCAATCCGGGCCTACTGTGCATCAAGTAAAAGTGCTATCACGAAACTACAGGAGGCGGAAATGGTTGAGGCCAGTGTACCTGGATTTAAGAGGATGTTACAAAAAAACCTAGGAGGTCAACTTTTTCAGAGCCCTTAACTATGGCACCTCTCACATTCAAATCATGGTTTTAGGACATTAAACCTCATCAATTATATTATTACTATTAAATTATCACAGAGATACAGCAGTGCTCAAAGTTGGTTCAGGAAAAACACTACTATATCAAAATTAAATAGCATGAGTTGTGCTATTATCACACGTAATACTGCACGGAAGAAGTGTAAAATTTCACCAGAAATCAAATATATTAGTTTTGCAACAAGTGCTTGGTTTAGTGGCCTATCGACGACAAAGCCCACAGTCATAATTATCAGTTGCCTACCACAGCAACAGCAAAGTAGGCAGATTTGCAAGGGTGCATGCTACTTTACGGACACATGGTGGGTACACTGTGAATCGGTAAAAGGAAAAGTCATGGCATAGTGAACAATGTGCAACTGTATTCGCAGTAAGCGTTTTAGAATAGTTTCGAAAGGCTTATGACACGCACACACGCGTTTCTTTCCTTGTGGCACAGCTGCCGATGTCCAGCAAGATGTGAAGTCAGGCCTAGCGATTGAGAAGACTGAGGTGAGCGAGCCCGGTTAGACTATTATGTTCCATTCTTGAAGACAAAAGTTCAAGAATCCCCCAAATCTTCAACCACGCTAAATCATAACATGTACCACAATTTTGCTTTTTAACTTGACTATTGTGTACAATCTGAACATTTAAACAGTTTTAACTTGAGCAGCGACAGTACACCAAATACATTGGGGGGATTTTACATAAAAGGTAAGGACCCCCCCCCCTCCCTCCAACTACCGAGTGATGCACACGTGTTCTCCAGCACTAGTCATGATGTACACACTCGCTTTTGTTGCCAGACCCATGTGCTTCAGCAACAATCATCCATATCGCTTCCCCTCTCTTCTTTTACAAGCTGTATATTTGTGAATGCACAATAAATGCATTTGTTGGACATCAGCACTCATGCTTGCATGCCAGTTCTTTATACAGGTCATGTTTGTAATCAATGCGGCTTTTCTTCATGATGGATTCCAGCCGACGAGCTTGCATTCAACGGTTTTAAAGTAACTCTCCTTGAAACTTCCCCCCACATGGTGCTGCATAGCCTCTCGGATAGGCCCCAAATGGCGATACCATGTGATCAGGTCATCATACGTCATGTAATTTTGGCAAGCTCGGACGTCACGATGATGCCATGTCTTAACTTTCTATGGCAACAAGTTTCGGGTACTATTCGTCCAGTTGACGAAGATGGTAACCATTTCCATTTGATAAGGCATGCGAGAATCTTTAAAGAATCTTATGTCTCTCTTATGTCAATCTGCCAACCTGACCGGCATCATAAGCTGCATCTCATAAATATGGCATGCTCCACTTGCAAGATTTACTTTTTTGCTAAAATAACTGCAATGAAACTAATTCAGCCTTTCCTTCAAGACACTATAACCCCAGAAGACACTATAACCCCAGAAATGCACGTAATCAAGCAATCGAACGTTGCTTCCGGACTACTGGTTACCGTGTTCCTCCCTAAGGTTGCCTTCAACTTAATTTGTTAACAACAGAGTTTGTGCTCTTATGATAGACCACAGGTTAGGATGCAAAATCTTTTAATGTAGAACACACATTTGTATGTGACATGTACATATAATATAAATTTATTTGTGCCCCTCTCCCTTGAACCATCTCAATTATACAATGTATATCATTCACAGTCAAAAAAGTCATGCCAATGAAACAACAGAGAAGGTAAAAACAAGCGCATTTCAGAGTTCCTCCAACGCAAAACACGAGTCACGCACACTTCGGCAAACGCAGCGGCAAAAACACCGTCAGTTTTTCGAAGCAGCAACATGCAAGTGTACACAACTCAGCAGCAAAGCAAACAAGCTAGGCAACCAATTAACAAAAGGAAAAGTCCTGAATGAAAAAAAAAAATCAAAAGATAGAAGACAGAGAAAATGAATAACAAGTGCATCGTCCTCAAACAAGCAACAATGAAAAAGCGGAATCAAAATGAGCAATCACAAAAATAAATCCCTTGCACTCATCTTACAATAACAACAACAACAAAAAACCCCCACCCTCTCTTGCCAATCAACCAAGAAAACAATGAAGCAGAACACACACAAGCACGAAGCAATACTTTTTTTTTTTTTTCAATACTGGGCAAAAAGCCTGCATGTCAGATTGCATTGTGAAGAGATCTGCTGGCCTGCTTGAAAGGTAAAAGTGCATTGCATTTTATGTATCGCATGTTGTTTGACCAAACTGTGAAGAAATTTCACTGGAACAAGCAATTTCTTATAAAGTGGAGCATAAAAGCCCTTGGCTGAGTAAAAAATGCCTAGTCCCTCGTGTGTTCTGCCCTTTGGCTCAGGGCAAGAGTTTGTCAATGCCCTTTTTACCTGAGTGAGAAGATTTGAAATTCTCTGCATTCCAAAGGCTGCTTCGAATGGTTGGCCTGTTACCAATGTGTGCTAAGATGCTTCAATTCATCATCTCCCTACCAAGTGCACCTCTTCCCTTTTGCTCTTCTAAAGTTGCACAATGTAATGGTGTCTAGGGTAAAAAAAACATGCTATCAAAAAGGACACGTGTGCCCACTAAATGCCATTGCTCATTGCCATCTTATCGTGATCACCCTCCACCGAAGACATTCGGTACAACATGCAAACTGCTACTAGGGCCGTTCTTCCGAGGCAAAGTCATGCGCCTGTCGTTTTGCGAGGAAGAAAGGAAACGATGGCAAGGGTGTGCCCCTTTGGGAAATGGACCTGTACAGTGCGACTGTCGATGTATAAACGTCGAATGAATGAAAGATGCCTGGAAAGATAATGCATCTTGTACAGCACAATCAGCCTCTAGGCCTGTACTTAAGCCACTGTTCATGTGTCAGCATAAGAAAAACAGAAATTTCCATTTTTTTCCCATGTGGACTAACCACGCCAAATGCACAACTACTCTTTGTGAATAAATCAGCTTTTCTAATATTTAACTTCACCACGAGCAATTGCACAACCACATCTAAAGGGGTGCAGAAGAAAAATGATTTCAATCACACTCACAATTCTCATGCCAGGCCGAAATCACAACCCGAAAACCCATGCAATCGATGCACACTAAGTTGGCTTGCAAACGTGGCTCGCCCAGTTCCCAGCAAAGACTGACTGTACGTCGAATGATGAAAGGAATGAAACACAATGTGCCAAAGTACTGTTCCATGCTACGTGTAGAGAAATGAAGATTGATGACACAATTACAGGCCAAGAGGGCCAGGCCTCAGTCAACACCGGACCTTTAGACTAGAATGCTTCGACACATTGTTGCCGCCTCACCGCTATCCTCATTGGTGCCTTTTGGTGCAGTCCGCGCATGGGTCGACAGATGCGGAGGCCAAACAGGCGAGACAGCAACGGTGCACTAAGACATCCCGCCAACTTTGTTGTTCCGGGACCTCGAAATGAAAAGCTGCAACATTGTTGCTTTGCAACCGCGCAACTACCACCACACACAGTCACACAATGAGACCGTGGAGGATCCCTCCAAGCCTCAAACTGCAGCGGAAGCTGTTGCCATGGTGCTTCCTTCCAACGGCCCATTCCTTGAGCAGCTCCTAATGTGAAGGCAAAAGCTTCAACTGCAGTTCAAGAATACACAAAAATGAGTCCCTGCCCCCCAATCACAAGCCCCCACCTGACATCTCCCTTTTCCCCATCACCTCTCGAAGACAGTGGGACACCGTGGCCCCCACAAAACACGGGGGACACGCTCAAAGTTTGCAGAGGCAGAACAGCAGCGGGATGAAGGCTCCGATGGCCACAAAGATGGGCAGGAGGGCGCTGCTGTCGTCTCCCGTGTACGGGTTTGGACTACGAGGCCCCGAGGGCCTGCGCGGCTGGTGCTGGGATCCGGGAGAGGAGTCGCCAGAAGCGTGCCTTGTGGGAATTTCCTCCTCCTCTTCCTCCTCTTCTTCTTCAAGCTCTTCCAATGGGGGAAGCTCGGGCACGTCTGCACAGCAAGATGGCATCGAGTAAGACAACACACTTATCCTACATCTCAGTTTCACACGGCTACAAGATAAGCTGACATTCTGTGTAGGTTGTGATCGTGATGAAAATACGAGGTGATACCAAAAAGGAAAAGCGAATGAGGTAAACTAAGACTAAGCGTCTACAACATGGGTCTTGCCTACTTCATGTCCCTCCAAGACACACCGTTGTGCTGTCCAAATAAATCATAAGTTCGCACCCATTCAATTATACCTTTTGGTTCCTCAGAAATTCCGACCACCTGAGACTCAATGTCCAACACTCGTATGCGAGCACACAGACAGTTACCTCAAACCCCCAACATTGGAGGCTGTAGCCAATAAAATATTGACCACTATGCGTTCAGCAGTCGAAAATTGTAGCTGGTAAGCTACTCTAGCAACTAAAGGTAGCCCGTATGTGAAAACCAACTGGCACAAAAGATTGCTTTGACTGATTTGGTTCTGAATTAGTGGTTCATACCAGCAAAAACATCCAAGCTGTAGACCTGTTAGTAGTCCGCCTCTTTCACTAATGCACTTCAATCGGCGCCAAAGCATGTACTGACTAGCATTAAACCTTATGCCAAGTTGCCATACTGGATCTCGATGCTCCGGGCTCCGCATCATTTTTTCGTCCAATAGGGTCTTGAAAGGCCTACATGGCATGACAGCTCCTTTGAAACTAAGCTTTATGAAGTTAGGCTCCTTATATTAACAGAAGCGCTTAATGTATCTTCTTTGGAGACTGACCAACCATGAAATTGTGCTTTTGCATCCCAAGGGACATGTTTCATGAGCTGACCCCTTGCACCAGATGTGAAGTTTGCTTGGACATTCTCGGTTCATGCTATAATAAAGTAATGCAAACACAACAAGCTCTTTAATGACCACACTGACGAACAAATAGAATAGATCAGCAGAAGAATGCCACACTGAGCTGAATTTGTCAGTGCTCACCGGCAACCAAACGAAGAGATACACGTTGAAGCTTTTTGCCTAGTTAAGGCCTCCATATCTGAACGATACGGGTAACTGTGTGCTTCAAGAACATTTCTACAAGCTGACACAAAGTGGTTATTTTAATGAAACAAATAAAAGGTGTCGAATCACTGTCATCACTCAAGAGTAAAGTATAGTAGAAGTTTTGACGTGTGCTTTGTACCTTGGGCGTGCATCTGAGCCACAAAAGAAGAAAGGAAGGGCGGGGGGGGGGGGGGGGGACGACACCTACTAAAAGAGCGTCCATGGTAATGAAAGCCTCCAGTGTTATACGACCAGGAAGAGATACACCTTTATCTTGGAGAGTCATCTTCTTGAGGCAAGGTGAGCTCCGATAACACTAGACAATGTGGGACATTTTTTCGGTGCGATGATGTGCCTTGCACGAACATTACGAGGAGTATGCTGACATGTAGCGTTGTGACAAGGTTACGAATTGGGCTGCTGTTCTAAGAAGTTTTGTTTTCCACGTAGCGGAGGCAATGAAGAACCATTTCAAGCAGCCTCTATGACTTATCTACCTTTTTTTGTGATTGTACACGAAACTAAATTAAGAGGCTTTACATGCCAAAACCTTGATTGATATAACAATGAGATATCTCTTGCAGAGGATATGAATAATTTTGACAACCTGGCTTTATTTGATGTGTCCATAAATCTAAATACGTGGGTGTTTTAGCACTTTGGCTCTATCGAAATGCAAATGTCATGGCTGGGAATTTAACAGTTAACGTACTTTTAGGCCTGTGGCCTCTTAATATCTAGCCTAAATATATTTCTGCTAAATCGTTTTAGTTTGATATGGCCCTCTGAAGCCACGCAGTGTGTAGTGGCAATACCTACAAGGATATATGAAAGCTTTGCTTTAAATAAAGATGTTTATAAATTTTTAGCTTTTTAAAGTTAGGCTTACACAGTCTACTTTCAAGTGTTGTCCAGTTAAGGCAACATTATATTAAAAAAAAAAAAGAAAAATGTAGCTCATATAGTCAGTCATAGCAATGCTTGTAAATTGTGTTGATCTCGGTTATGTTCGAACACATGATGCTTATTCGCATGTGAGCGACACGAGGTGGATTGGTTTCCGATAGAAAGACATTTGTTCTTTTTGAAATGATGTTGTCCTGTTCCGCATGCTGTGTAATGGCGATAATGTTAGAACATTTTTACACGTCCTATGATCGTGTGTATGCATGAATTCTCAACTTTCATGCCTGCGTTTCGCAGCCAGTGTGGCTGGTTCAACTGGTTCAAATTCGCAATCTCAAAGTCATTCCGATAGATGACAAACTTTCCACACATGTGTTTCGGATGCGCAGTACAGCTGTATAGAAATTATATTCACGATACCTTTAATGCACGATCATACCAGCTGCTGTAGCTGTGCAGCAATAGCGTTACAAAGCTCAGCTTCGGAATGGGGGTTTTATTCCAGCCACGACATTCGCGATTCGATTGAGCCGAAATGCAAAAGCACCCACGTACTAAGATTTCTGTGCGTGTGAGGATCTCAGGGCGTCAAAATTATTCGGACGACGTACACTGCGACGTGTCTCATTATCGTTCTAAACCCCTTTTGTCTTGCCGGCACGTTAATGCATGCCGGTTAGCACAAGCACCTAACAGGCCAAAAAAAATAATGTGCATAACGAAAAAAAAAAGGCACGGAACATATGTGTGTTTAAGATGCTCACCGTCAAGCGTCCCCCTCATCACGTAAATGGCGTTGATTTTCGGGTTATCCCGGTAGCCCTGCAAAACAAAACGCATATGACAGCCACACGATTCAATCTAGTGTTAACACCAGTTTCATACAGTGCTTCGGGATGCTGGCTGTTCACTACTACCCCCAAATCGGATTAGAATAGCAAACAAGCACAATATATATTACAAGCTCTCCCCAGTGAGCCTTTAACCTTGAAATGAACAAATAAACAAATATAGAATACATGCGGAAAATCCCTCATAACCAAGTTTAAAAGCGAACAGAGCGCTATACAACAGGCCAAAAGGAACACCATGTCATCAATGCTCATTTTGTAACTTAAACCCATGTCATATCACTGCTAATATGCCATTGTCCTCCAGGTACTCTAAGTTTCAACTATTCCCATTACGATGTTAGGTTAAACCAACTTAACGTCAAAACTGTAACATAGCCAGAATATTTACATCCTTTTGAGTTATGTGCCTGCCTTATCTGAAGGTAACAAAAGCCTACTAAATACTGTAATCCCAACACCAGCCAACAGTTGAAAGAAAAGATCACTCCAGACACGCTTAGCAAGCTTCCTGCATGCTCATATATTCACTCATCCTGCTTAGCCCCTGAATGAAGCCGCACATACAAACATGGGGGTTGGCCTTTCTAAGTTTTGAGATATAAACCCGCACACCACTATCGCAATTCAGCAACCATTAAAAGAACAAAAGCTCCAGATGTGCTCATAAAAAAATATCAGGCCTGCGCAAAAATTGCAGCACAGTCACAGTGAAAGTAAAAAAGTGGAATTTCTAGAGCCCATTGTAAACTCTCTTCGCATAACTAATAGAAGTACACTTCCAAGGTGCCGACTACACCATAAATTGCCATAATATTAGTCAAGTTGGGAAGCACAAATTACGCCGTTGCTGATCATTCTGCAGAGAAATGACTCAAATGAGGCACCAACTATGCTTTGTTGATGCGGTGGTTGATGAAAAATTATGGCCGAGTCCTTTGTAATGGGCTGGAAGATTCAAACCACTACGCGATTTGCATTATGTGATGCACGGTCATTATTTTACTCTCATATCACGCTATAATGGAACTTTATAGTGCTCATGGGCTTCCTTGGCAACTAATACATATACACTGTGCTACAAACCAGAATTTTTGTGAAGTAGGGAAGCATTCAATATTTCATTATTCGTCATCCTGGGAGGAGTTGGGTACCTGTGACACGCCTGTAAGGTATTATGTACACTTTGTTGATGCTGCGGCCGATGAAGAATTATGGCTAAGCCTTTTGTAATAGGTTTGAAGCAATCAATGACCAATTACACAACTCACATTGTATGAAACTAGGTTGCTATTTTACTCTTTCAAGCACCGGCACAGCCCCGTGGGAGGATACTGGGCTGCCACGAAGGGAGTCCAGGTTCAAACCCCCCTCTGATCTGCCAATCGCTGTGCAATATAAGGGACACTGCATCCCTGACAATGTCACTCTGCATTTTCCATTGCACCGCAAGAACTCTGTGAAGTTAAAATACAAGTAAGAGCTAATGCATGTTTCTGGCTTCCTAGCATAGCCAAGGTGTCCTGCGGTGAACCCAGCACGTGAAAAAAACGCTATATGTTTAACTTGGTTCCAGGCATTCTGCATGTTAACCTAATTGCAGCAGATAATGTGAAACATAAAATAGTATATGCTCCAACTGTGTAAGCACACTGTATTCAAATTGTTTAGGTCAACCACTACGCAGATAGCTGGTCCGTAATGTGAATAATGTTTGTGAGCAAGTGCGCTCCAGTAAGCAGGGAAGATAACAGATCGCAACACCGGAGTAATAAAAATCAGAAAGAAGAGCACAAGAGTACTCAACATACAATTTCTATGTGCTTGATGGCGTACAAGAATCAGATTTGACAGGAACTGGACTGCCTTCTCTCACTTTCTATAGCAGTTCTACATGTAACTACGACAGCAAAGTTTCAGTCCTGAAAACAACACCGTATCCTGCAGTGAGATACGTGACACCTGAATACTGTTCACAGGGTCTGACAACCAGCCAGAAGATGTCACACAACACTTGTGGAAGTGGAAAGACTGTGTTAGAGTGACAAAATCAAGCACCATTTTCATGGCTTGGTTAGGATTTATATTTTTCTCGCGGCAGACAACACTTCATGCAGCACGAGTGAGTTGTTAAAACTGCTGTATGTGGTCCGCCGTAGTTTAGGTGCATCACAAGTTATGCTTAATATTGCGGTGTGCATGTTGATGCATACCTTATTCTGCATTTTAATGCACATGCTAAAGAAGGGACGCGAAGATTGATCAAACTGAACAGAAAGCTTGCTCTTTGCCAGATGCTACGCATCAACATCTGAAATGCAAAAAACTTCACAATATCTGGCGCGGCGGACAACATGCAAAACAACCTTTCCGTGCTCACGCATATAAATAGCTCCTTCTCTTAACATCCTGCTTCGCAGTGCTCTTACAGACAGTGTAAGTTCTAAATTCGATTGATAAAAGCACATGTCCCAGCTAGAGAGTAAATATTTAAATATGAGCTGTTTCCACACCTTGATAAATTCGACCTTGATCTTTCCATCGTGAGTGGACTCTTCATCGTTGATTCGCAGCTTGTTGCCTTTGATGCTGAAGGCAATATACTCGTCATGAGCGACTCCTCGCCCTACCCTGGCATGGATGTCCAAGTCGGCAACCACTGTGTGCTGGCCATTTAAGACTACGTCAAAGACCTGTAAAGACAACAGGGCGTTTTAGAATAAGACGCGTAGCGTTTGAAGAGCTTGGGTATGCACACTACTGTCGAAATGCAACATGCATACTCGGGAGGTTTGCATGGGTGCTGGCAACACAGACCTCTGGTTACACTATTTTGAAACTGCCGAATGTGAGCAAGTGCACTTACTCGCAACTTACGAGTACAACTTGGACTGTATATTTATGTGACAGTTATGCTAGACAATTAAGTGCAACAATTTCTCAGCAAATCAGCTCCTTAATAAACGGGAAAAATGCCATAATAGTAAGCTAAATGCACAATGCCTTGCAGCAAGTTTTCTTGGCTGCAGAATTTTGATGCCAATCATTACGTCTAACATAAATCACAGCGGCAACCTTTTATCATAAATGTGTTATATTATACTCAGATTTTTTTTTTCTTTCACGGCCTCTCACAGCTTAATAAGGTGAAGATTTTAAAAAAGTTAACGACTTGTATCCGTGTGCCAAGGGAAAAAAAATCCCTCTTATGCATGAATTGCTTAGGAAAAACTGATGTAGAAACAACAGATGTGGCTACAAAAAAAAATGGACGAAAAATTCCGCGAAGAAGGTAAAGGATAATTAAATGCCACGATCGGAGAGCTGAGAATGTCAGCAAAGACGTACGCGACACAGCAGTGCCCACGTTCTACAAAATAGTCGCTAAAAAAAAAAAAAAACGCGCTCGCACACGGCATGAATATGAACAAAAGACTGCAAACGTGTAAAAGAAAACATTGTCGGGTTGCCTCGTTGGCACGGTGTCCTGAGCGCGAAACCGAAAGACGGAAGTGTTCTATCCTATCGCCGCTCAAATGCGAAGACAAAAAATAAGGTGATCGGTGCAAAAGAACAATCGACGACGCTTTTCCGGGTCACCGTAGCAACAAAGCAGCCACGAATACGCGAAATCAAAATTAGAAAGTCGTATCGCATATGCGACCCGAAATGCGGCAGATGGCTGGACGTATCGCGTGCCACGAGCACATACCACCAAGTCGGATCGAATCAAACCGCGATATAAACTGGGGCACGAGCGCTGTAATCAATAAAAACAAATATAGAGTTAAGGCCCGAGAAAGCTAGTGCAGTGCAACGCGAGAGATGATGGCATGCAGCTAAACGCCGCGAAATCAATGCAAGACCGGCAGAATGGAACGCCACGCAAGCCGGCCTGGGGCACGCTCACCTTTCGGCCCGGCGAATCGAAGTACACTTCGCAGAACTTCAGCACGAGGACGTAGTCGCCGTCCTTGTTGACGGGGATGTCATAGCCGAAAGTGGCCGTGTGATAACGCTCAGTCTGGTACAGGATGTGGTCCTGCCTGGGAGCCCTGCCGATGACTAGAAGCTTGCCGTAATCGGAGGCAGTGCCAACTTTTCCGAAGAGCGGGTCGCGCTTGTAGCGGATGCCGTGGACGTCCACATGTTCCTCGCCGCCGGCGTTGATCGCGTAGATGACTTCGCCGAGACCAAGTGCGGGATCGCACAAACGGAGCAGAACGAAGACGGGGAGAAACAGGGATGCTACTACGAGGCGCCGCATATCTTCTTCCGAAGACGACGAAGCGTAACCTACGATGATAGATGCCGGCCGGAGTTTTTTTTTTCGCGGTGTAAAGCCTAGCGCGCGAAAGTTGAGGAAATGAGGAGACAGCGTTCGTCCAGGGACGACTTTCTACACCTTTCACGCATCAGCTAGTCGGTGCATCCTACGCGCGATTAGAGTTCAGCGACGAACACATAGCGTCCACGGGCAAACCCCCCCGGCAGCGGAACTAGCGGAACAGAAAATCCACGCGAGCTCGCCGGTAGCGAGGAGCCACGTATTCTTGTTGTTAGTTTCGTACCCTTATTAACAAATAAAACTACAATTAAAATAAAAAATTACTTATACTTTAAGTTTTTTTCTGGTGTTAAAACATTAAATGTGCAATTTTGGTGGTTTTTATGTTTTGATTGTTTTTTTATTTGTTATCACAATTGGCCGGATTTGACGTAAGTCATGTTTGCGTCTGCTGACTCTGTGCGTGTGATTGCCGAAGTGAAGGTCGCCAGAGGCGCTGTTCCTCTTCATCCAGCATGGTTTGATCGTCTTAAGTAGTTATTTATACCTCGTTCACCGCGTAGTCTAAGGAAGAGAAAAAAAATTCAAAAATTCCCCCGTCGCTGAGAGTGTCAGCTCCAGAACATGTAAGCCACAAAGCGCCCTCCGTAAACACGCACACACTGCCATGCAGTCGGTGTTGATGTATGGACGTATCCTCACGCGGGCCCTAGCGAACAGTGTTTTTAGCTACTCGACATGCGCGACCAGCCCCGACGCGAAGTACGCTTGGGCCAAGGGCGATCTCGGACTCCAAACAGTCACCTGCGGCTTCCCCAAGGAGAGGAATCGCTTCTCCATCGGTCTCGGAAGGGGTCAGTTTGGAGACGACGCTTGTTTCGCGGCCAAGTACAAGTCCTTCGATGTCCTAGGTGAGAGCCTTTTAAGCCTAAAGGTGGACTTTCGCTCGGACTCGCAATCGACTCCTTCGAACGTTGCAGCTGCGCTCTGAATGTGTCTGATCGTACCTTCACTTGTCGAAAGTGTCGTACGATTGCTTCGTTTACGAGTTTCGAAAAGATGTGTCGCTGCCGTGTCGTGGGATGAACTGAATGCCATTCATTCCTGTCAGCAATCTCGGTTGAACTTCGCGAGAGATGTACCCGTCCAGTTTTTCACAGCCTACTCTGTCCGGCTTTTCAGAGTTCTTTCGTTTCTTTTCTCATTTCCCTCTCGATGTAGGCGTTGCGGATGGCGTCGGTGGCTGGCGGACGTACGGCGTAGACCCTTCTCTGTTCTCGACGGCGTTGATGCGCAACTGCGAACGTGTCGTCCACTCCGGTAGGTTCAAGCCCAACTCGCCGGCGAGCATCATCGCATCGAGCTACTACGAACTCTTGGAGAACAAGAGGCACATTATTGGTGAGCCTCGAGGCACCTTGCACGACAGATGTCGTGCGGCGGGGATATTGTCCGGTCCCATTCTCGAAAACGTGATGAACGAGTACCGGGCTTTCACGTGATTTGTTTCGCCGTCTCGATTGAAATCTCTACCAGCCTGAATGGTGGTCAGTTACTTTCGATATCCTCCTTACGACTGCAAGAATTGTCGCGAAGAAACATTCAAAATGGCAAAACAAAAAACAAACAGTGCATACGTTTACACAATCAATCAATGAGTTCGTAACCAAAATGGAGTACAATGGGTAATATTTATGCCGTTGGGACCCCAAAACTGAACACGAGTTGTGGGAGGAGTTCCTATAAAAATAATGTTATTGAAATCCGTGTGAAAGCATTCTATATATAGGTGAAAGCTGAACAAGATAAATCGTTATCCTATGTGCAAAACTCAACTAAACTATGCAGTAGGTAAAAAATATAAAGAAAAATCCGTGTGGAAATATTTTATACGTAGGTGTATGCAAACGAAAAAAATGCTTATACATAGTGTGCACGTGCGTCACGCAGCGCCGATTCGTCACTTCCGAAATGCGCCACTGACATGCCTAGGTACCTACTGACTCCGTGGTTGACCGCTGCCGTGTTGTTTCCTCGTGCATGCGCCCGTTCAGTTTGCAAGTTGGAGCAATTATCAGCTGCTGGTGAGGCAAGTTGATATAACAGTCCACGAAGAGCGAGCAGAGTGTCAGGGTGTTCTCTCTGCCAAAAGTTATTACCTAAAATTGTGAACACACACTGCGATTTTCCGAAAAACACCAGCATGTTTGGCTGGCACAGATTAACAAAAACGACTTGAAGAACCGATGATGTTTGCGTCTTCAGGTGCAACTTCATTACGGGTAAGTAATGAAGTTACACCTGAAGCACGTACCTGCAAACAGAGATAGGTGCTGTATATACAAACTTGGCCGCGACCGCTGCGTGCACAATCAGCGTAGCAGGGAGGCGGTTAAAATTGTGAAAGCAATCACGGGAATTCGGGTATTGCATTCAAACAAAGTGTAAAAATGGATGTGAAACAATATTCGTTCACTCGCGATTTGGCCGATCGGTTCGAGTTGGAGGTTCAGGTTTTTTAAGAATTGGTCGATTGATTCCCTAAAACAGTCTGCATCATTTTCAGGGACAATACTGTACATTGGCGCACAACAACAGCAGTAATATACAAGGTAAAAAATCAGTCAAAACATACGCGAAAAAAAAGTGACTGGCATCAGCGCGGCACGCGAAGTCTCTACCTTGCATAATTTATTCCTTGGCTGTTTCCGCAAATTCTGATCAAGGACGCTCAACATCAGCACTGTTTAAAACACTCGGGGAGCCACACTGCCACTTTGGTGGTGTGGGCCGCAGCAATATATTAAAATTTTTATTAATAATATATCTCCTGTAAACTTGCCTAGCTCTGCACGATGACTCGTTTTCGATGGGAGCTGTGCGCTTCGCTCATCCACTTTTAAAATTGCGGCTCGAGAGACTTTGAGCTTTCACTTGTTCTTAGACCACGCAATTTGTAGTGAAAGCGAGATAATGGGCCCTCGTAGATCGTGGTGGGCAGCCAGTGTACGCGGTGGCTGGTACACGTGTTGATTTTCCGGTCTTGTGTCGAGTGAACAAGTGAGGCCTTCCTGACCCGATGAGCTCGTTGAAGCATGACAACGAGAAACCGTACGGCTTCTCTTAAAACATCGCGCACAGCAACAGATGACGAGCCCTCAACAAACCGCGCTGCAGCACGCAAACTGCTGTAGGTACCCAGCGAGGTACCCGGGCATGGCGGGAGATGGCGATAACGGCGGAAGTGACATCACATGAACACTATGTATACAGCGAGTAAACAGAAACTATGCACAACATAAAAGAAAATATAAAGGACAAACAATAAAAGGCTGAACGTTACTCAAAGCACGAAAGAAAACACAAGCTTTTTTTTGTTTTAGGAATTGCAGAGGAAATACTGGCGCAGTGAGTTAAAAGAATACTGAATGGAAGATGAAGTTATTTCTGTAGGAAGGGTGTTCCAAAGACTGGCTGCAGTATTCATCCCTTTCAGAGGCTTTGTACACAATTGTATACATTACTTGTTTTTGCTATTCGTGTCAACTACGGGTTAAAAAAGTGATAGATACCGTGAAGTTTAGATGAAGTGAACCTCCTCCTTAATGAACTTTTCATTTAACTTCAGTTTTGACCGTACTGTTGCATATAATCACTTTGCCGAAGGCACTACCATAGTCAACGAGCGATTCGACGCGAAGCTTCCCTGGAGCCACGTCGAAATATATTTTTTTCTTTTCTCGGTATCAATAAAATGAGAAACCAATTTGTTCCGTATATACAGTCTGAGATTTGATTCTATATATTCAAGAACCAAGCATGACTGTCTTCAGGATAAGTAGATATTTAATGAAAGCTTAATTTCTCTTAACTGCTACAAAATGTATAAATTAATCTATCATAAAATTATTGTTGTTGCAATAGAATATAGACGGCCTTGAAATCATGCTGTGACAATTTGATGCATTTACAGGCAGTTCTTCATAGGTGGCGTCTGAAAGGATTATAAAAGAAAATGCCTCATAGTTCGTGCATGCACGTGAAATGGTCAACAGTGTCAACGGAGAAGAACGTGTTGGGTAATGCGTTACGTGTTGATGAAATCAAACTGACGGACTGTGTATAATATTTCTTTGAAATTTGTACGTAAGAATAGCAATGCGTTTAAAACACTATAATGCAGTGGTAAAATATTTAATCAGGGATAAGTAAATGATATAGATTCAGTACGCCGGGAAAAGCAGATTATTCATAAAACTGTATTTTTTCCACCTTAATTGGCTGTAATGTGGTCGGATATGAAGCTGAAATACAATGTGATTCAAGAAAACTGCGGTAAAGGACTAGAATGGTGCGTAGTGGAAACAGATATCGTAACTTATAAAATATTCTTATATTTTTGTAAATCTTCCTAGTTACATCATGCGCATGACTGTGCCATGTCAGATGTTCATCTATGACTAATATCCTATGAATTTTGTTTCATTAGCTTCTTTTAGAGAAACTAAATTTTACGTCCTTACTAAGTGGCATAATTTTGGCAGAAAAAATGATAAAATTGCTTTTAGTAAGATTTGGAAGTAATTCATTTATGTGTAACCAGTAAGAGAGCCTGTTAAGAGTGCGATTAGCTTGTTGGTATAAATCTTTTGCAGTCTTAGTCACTATGAATGTATTTGTGTCGTCTACTTAATAACAACAATTATTAAGTACTTGCTGCGATCATTGATCTTCTTCATAAAAAAACAGTAAGGAGGCTTTTACATGCCAGTGTGTTGTGCCGTTGTTTTTAGATAGTATAGTAAGATATTTTCAATGTGATCAACAACCATAGTGCATGTTTGTTAAATTAATTTCTTTAGCTTGTCATCTAGTACAGCTGTAATTATTGATCTGAAGTTAAAGCAAATAACATTAGCATTTACTCTTAAAAAACTTCCAATTAGCCTAAGTGATATGCAGTGTTACCACAATGCTGAGGGAATGCTACCTGTAAACGTGGCTAATGTCTGCAGTGGTGTTGCAGTGCGGTGTGGAAGCGACAGTGTAGTTCTACTACTGTTCTTCTATACTGTGGACTACTTTCCCCGAAGGGAAACTCTAAACAGATCTTTTTTAATCTTGACCAGTATTGGTCTTCATCTAACTATGTGACTTTGACACGAAAATGCAGCGTTCCCTAAACATCACGCATAAACGGTGATGCAACATCACTGAATATTTTGCAATGTT